TTTTTTTTTTTTTTTTTTTTTTTAATTTACTTTTTTGACCTATGCCCTTCAGAAATTGAATGATATGGCTACTAGATTTAGAATATCAGAAATTATCTACATATCAATCAAATAACTAAATATATACTTAAAAAAAATACTCTATTCTAGCTGCAAAGCAGCTTCAGGAATTTTTATAAATCGCGTAAAATCGAAACACAAAAAGTGTCAGAAAAGTGATATCATATATGGTATTATGTCTAGATCTAAGCGCTACTTTGAATTCTACATGCTAGGGATCGTAGCTCACTCAGCATCATTAATCAGTGATGATATTCAACGCCAAGCCCGTTGTCCAAAGAGAATAACAAAAAGACGAATCATTCATGGAATGACCTCTCCCACTCATGCATCCGCTTATCGCCTGTTTGTCGCCTATTGCCTTTAGTTCGCCTTTGGCTCTGACAAGTAAATTCATGGACTTCATCAACCGACCTGACAAGACATGTACTGATCTGGCCTTCTGAAACATCGATTAACGGTGTCGTACAATTTTCTACTCACGCTTTGGCATCTATCTAATCAGTAAGCATAGTGTTTGAATTTTTAGTGAGTGTTTGTTTCTTTACTACAAAGCTCTCTCATCATCAGTTACTACTACTGAAATCAACCAATACTACCTGATAACACAAAGATAAAATCTTTTCTTTACTGCCCTAGTAAATAGCGTCAATATATTAATTCAACCTAGTGATGATCAAAATAGGCGGTCTTAGGCACTTCTCGGTGTATAACGTTGTCATGGTAACATGTATATCAGACACTATATAAGCCGTTCACCTGGAAATTGAGAAATACGTTTTTTTTTTTTGGAGATATAAAAACTTGTAGCCGTCTTTCACTGGCGAATACCACATTGTATAAAATTAGCTTGTCATACGAAAATATAACTTTGTTCCTGTCATACAGCATTGCTGCCATTAAACGCTTTACATGGACAAGCGTGGGCCTGGGTCTGTCACTAGACAGTATATTGATGAGATTCATGAGCTGAAGGCAGCTGATTGACACCAAGCAGTTGAGTGAACTTATTGTCTTGCTCGAAGTATTTAGAAAGCTTTTGTGTGTAGGAAATCCTTGATACTGTACTTTATACAAAGACAAGAGCGCTGCCTACTCAACCGCACATCTTAGCTTGTATGTAGTGTTGTCTCCTGTTCAGGCGCCTTCTTTCTACGGCGATTTGCACAATATTGAGGTAATTACTTTGCACCTTTAAGGACATTTTAACCCACAAATAATATTGATAGCCTGTGTCGAGATGTGTTTTAATAATAGAACTGATTCGGATTTGGTCAATACTTGACCCTTTATAACGCGTTAATCATGTAGCCAAAGCAGTTAGTATCAGAGAGTATTTGATAATCATTAGCTTGTTAATTATATAGTTTATCATGCCATTACACAATCAGTTCGTCTATCATCATTTCATACATGGGTTATTACTCTTATATTAATTTAATGTTGTACACTACCGCGGCATTTCACTGTCCTTGCTTGTCATAGATTATGACCTGATGACGACAGCCATTTTATACACTATTCTATTAGTTAGTACTAAACAAGGACAACCAGTAATCTCCAGCCAGCCAAGGCACGTTTCCCTTGAATATGCAATGAATCTCACTGGATGAGAGCCTTGGAAACATGAAAAAACACAAAGCTGGTTCGATAAATTGTTTGTCGAAATTTGATCCGTTTGATCACTGAATGTAAACACCAGTCTGCCAGTTATCTGTAGGTATGGAGTAAGCATATTTTATCTACTATCATATCCTTCCTGCATGAATTTTGACCTTAGAAATCTTTAGCACACTATAAGATGGATAAGTGCCAGGAAATATACTTATTCGCGTGAATGGATCAGTGGTGATAGATGATAAGTTATTCACTTATCCCATTGAATGACTCATAATCTTAATTGCTAATATCAATGTACATATTTTTTAGTTTCTTAAATATGGCTTGGCTTGTCGTGATTACCCTTGCATCATTGGTGCATTTACAATCAGTATCGTCCATTTTCCTACCATATTGGAAAGCCAAAAATCACACCGAAAACTCCTTTCACATTCCACTTAATGCTCTGGCAGTTGATGCTGATGTTGCTAAGTTTGGTACAAAAATGAGTTTCCTACAGAATATGAGCAAAGAGCATTCACTTGATGAAAGATGTGAGACTGGTTTGCCTATGTCTATCGCATGGCACCATTATGCGCCATATGTCACCATGCATAATTCAGTACACAAGAAAAAGGTCGGATTTACTGTAGCAGGGATGTTTCCCGCCATGCTAACACAGGTCAGTAGACAAACGACTACCTACTTTTGTTGGGACGTTTTTCTGTGAGGGGTGGGGGTGGGATTATCGGCCTTTCTATGTTGCTTTTCTCCTAAATCTCCACTGTGATCCACGCTTTTTTAGACAGCTCAAGGAATATAAGGGGCTATGATCTGTCAGTCGGTTGTGATCTTACTGAAGGACATATAAAGGACGCTGTGTTTGTATTGCAGATACTGAGTTCTTGCTGTCATCCAAACAGTTCCGTCACATTTGGAAAATTTCTTCGTTCGGCACGTCATGGTGAAGAATCGTTCGTTGAGAATAATTTCGATATAACGTTTCCCCTGTACGGTTACGAAGCCCTTAGGTAGGTTAACAGACTTACTGCCGCCTTACTTGCCATCCCATGCTCGTAAGTAAATTTTTTTTTAATCCTCAATTTTGATACACCCGGTTAGCTCAGTTGGTAAGGGCGTCGGTCTGTTGTCGTAACGGCGTCGGTCTTTTGTTCGACTGCACTCTTGTGTGAGTATGACCATGTTAAAAATATATGTACATATCGATATTAAAACCCACGGTTGTAACCCCTGGTGGTTATGAGACTAGCTTATATACGGTATTTACTATGTACAGYATGTACTATGCCTATATATCCGTTACTTATCCTTTTACTTGCTACAATTATATCCATTTCTTTCCATTTAGTAATTCGTTTCGCAGCCATGCCTTCATATCTTTAGTCCGCGCTCCACGTGTGATTCTTTTGGTGCATGACAATCAGAGTCACACCCAGACATCTGTTTTGGTTAAAGCTATCATTGGTGCCTGGCCTATGCTTATATTCATTCTCGTCACCGCTCTCTTTTCTGGAATCGTCCTGTGGTTTCTGGTAAGTTGTTTTCCTTCGATGTTTATCTATTGTTTGTGTATTCATCATGTACGAATGTATTTATTAATATAGTAGTAGTATTGTCCAGTTATAACCCGTTTAATGTCTCTAGTAAATCGTGCGTGCGTATTCCTGAATTGGGAGACCCTAAAGTCGATTCTATTCTTATTCGTTGTTACATACTCCGCCCGGATCAGTATTGCATCTTTGAATCCATGTTTTCACTACTGAACGACTAATATAGGCTCCGCCCACCCTTATACCAGCGTTTGTGTTAGAAAACTTATATGTTTCACTGTGTTTTGGCCTTCCGTCCGCTCTAAAACGCAAAAGCGCTTAATTTTTTTTATTAAGAACACAAACATTTGAATACGCTCAAATGAGAACAGAGTGGAAATATTCGAAAACGAAGGCCTAGTGCATGAAGCATGGGTGGCGTTCGGGTTTGATATTAGGACTCGTCGTATACGAGTTGAGTTTTTTATTTGTTCTCTTCTCTGCTTCGAGGGTTTTCGAGTTCTCCGGTTTTCCTCCATTCATCTGCAAAAACCAACTCTAAAATTCTAATTCAATCTAGAAGGGGCATAGATGAAAATTAATCTGTGTCAATCTAGTTACCACACCAAATGTTTGTTGTTCAGTGCGGGACAAGCAAAAACGGATGCTTCGGCACGTCTGTTTCTTTGCATGCGCGGATGAGGATATTGCATTAGGTTCCCACCGTATCTTACTTTCTTCATAATACGAAAAACGGTGAGTTTCAAAAACGCATTCAGTGTTTACAGGAAGCTCAAATTGCTCTAATTTCATATTGAATCTTCACAGGATCATAACCAAAACCCTGATGAGTTCCCGCCACCTTTTCTCAGAGGAGCATGGGAAGGATTTTGGTGGGCTCTAGTTACCATGACGACGGTTGGTTACGGGGATCGGTCACCAAAGTCTCCCCTTGGTCGTGTGTTTTGCATCGTGTGGATAATCACAGGCGTTATTATTGTATCTATATTCACTGCTCTCGTCACGGCCTCACTATCAGCAAGCACGTATCCAAACTTTAACATCCACGGATCCAAGGTACTCAAATACGCTTCACGTCATGTTGCCGCTTTCTTTGCCGTGACTTTAGATCACGTGACACTAAGAACCGTATTATGAAAATGCTTTTTTTTTTTTGTTTTGTTTATTTGTTCAATTAAAGATTGGAGCAGTGAATGGAAGTGAAGAGTTTCGTCTTGGTGTAAGCATGAATGCTGACATGAAAGGTTTGATGCTACTCTTCCTAGACTTCAGGATATACCTTGCATAACAGATAAGACAAGAAAATAAACCTTTATAAAGATTGACTTCATATTATTAGAGCCGCGATATAAAACGATATGTTTAGGTTGCAGTTTTGATTGACTGAGTTTAACTGAAATGCGATAATAATTGATCATCGATGCAACTTTTGAGTGTCCATTCAGGTCAGTGGCGGATCCAGGGGGGGGGGGGGGGGG